GCTTTATCTGTTCTTTATCTGTTCTTTCATAATCCGTTGTTAAATTGTGATCGGCAGAAGCTTTTCTGGTTCGTGCCTCACTTTTTTACAGCAGCGGCCCAAAACGATCTCCTAACACATTAATTTTCTGCTTCCTGATCACGTGACGTGTAACGTATGCGGATGAAGATCGACTTTAGAGCTGAGATGTTTGTTCTCACGGTGCGGGGCTCGTTCTGATGCCCGCTCAGTTAAAAGATGCAAATGACAACATTAATAGTCATTGGCAGTGAACGGTTGGATTTAAAATGACAACTTTAGTCGTCAATGGCAGTGAATGAGTTAAAATAGTGTATTTTACAAATTAAATATGTAAGCGAGTTACTACCGGCTAGCCACCGAAGCTGCAACTACTGGCACATAACCAACCATAGCTAACTGCTTTGGATATAAAATACATTTCAGATATCAACCCAATAGCTACAATTAGTTGACTTACATTTAAACTTGAAATTTGCCTCCGAAGTAGCTGCTGGCTCCTGATCCGCCATCCTTTTGAAAATACTGCTCTTGGATCTCTGGGACTTGGAGCTCCTTCCATCTCCTACACATCTTTGGGGGCAGATCTGTGGCCCCTCATATTCTCTATTGAACGCTCCTATAGATAAACCTTACATATACAAGCGTGTGTACACACACAGGTGCTCACATGGTGCTCTCATAAGTATGGATTTGGGCATTTTCAACACGTCTTAAGGCTGTGGATAGCACTAAGTGCACTGTGAGTTATTATTGTGTGATTGTTCAGTAAAACAATGTAGATTTTATATTTCCTCATCAGGTTGACACATTGATAGCTTGCTCCTGTTGTATTGTTGTGCGTTGTTTTTCTCTTTCTGCAGGTCTAGAAGCAGACTCTTGTTCATCATTGATTATTCTTCCGGCTCTTGGAGAGTACAAACACTCTTTTTCTCCTCTCCCTCCCTCCTCATGCCAAGGCTCTTTGTCCTGTCTTGTGTGCACTGTGATTTCTGCATTTTTTCTGGAAACTGGAAATTATTAAAAATGGATCTGGTCAGTTGGTCTCTCAATGCGATTGACAAAATTTTTTCAATGATGAGAATGGGAGAAGGGGCTCCCAGATGCCCCTCTGGGACAGAGCCAGCTGGGTATATCATGGACTCCTGGAAACAGTGGAACTTGATATGCCACTCTCAACTGTCTGTAGAGGATTGTGAAGATGTTTGGATATTCGTCATTTTGGTGTCGGGATTCCTGCTGTTTGGCCTGAACGATTACCTGGCTTACCGGAAAATTAACGAGCTTTGGAGGAATATTGGCTCAATCCCAGAGCTCAGGGATGGAATCTATTGCCCTGTGAATGCACAAACTCATATAATTGTCGAGATGATTCATAAGCTTGGAACTTTGGCTGAGCTGCATGCTCTGGCACAGAAGGTGGATTCCATCAAGGAGCGAGTTGACAGATCAGCACGGATTGGGATAGATTAATTACGCCATTATTGGATCTAGAGGGGTTGAAGACCAACATAACAGTAAGGCAGAGAGGAACTGATCTCTGTCTGTCCCCAAAACAATTCTTATCTAAATCTGGTGTCCTTGGAGCCTGTGAGGCTGAAGTGAAGACTCCCCCCTCAGAAGAAATGTGGAATGCTGCCGTCACTATGGAAACTCTTTCTCCCTATCCCAGCCTGGGCGGGACTGTGACCGGTGAAGGCCGTAGAACCGTATCTAGGATTCAATGTGCCCTATCTCCCTCCCCTGTCCAAACGGAGGTGATGAGCGCTGCTCCATGCGGCTGCAGGCACTGAAGTGAGGAGAATCCCAACCCTACCTCCCCACCTAGTGGGCACTTATGTTGTGTAATATCTGACGTCTGTGTGCATATCTGTCTGAAGTGTTTTTTGCATAGCAAAGCTGCCCTCTCTGTGGAGGGTAACTCTGAAGTGTCTTTTTTTCCCTCCCCCTGACTCAATCCTCATATAAACCCTCTTGATCTATTACGGTTGCGCGACTCGGGTTGCGAATGACCACAGTCACCAATTCTTGTCATGTGTCTATGTATGTGTGTCTGATCTCAGAATTGTGTGTACTGAAACTCTAATTTCCCTCTGGGATTAATAAAGTATTTTTGAATTGAAATTAATTTATTTTTGTGGACCCCCTTCCCCCTTGTCTTTCTTTCTCTTTCACCCCTGTCTCCGTGTCTGGCCGGAATTACAAAGAATTGAAATAACAATTACAATAAAGTTTTAAGTATTGGGGTGACATTAAAGCAGAAGCTTTGATGTTTCACCTGAGAGTAAATCTGTAAGGCTTATCACCAGCATTCAGACATTAACTCTATTTGCTTCACAGCCAGACAGGACACGGGAAGAAAAAGAAAATACCGTGGTGTATTCTGGGAAATTTTTGACTTAGGCTAGGCTATTTGAAATCTCCTGTGTATCCTTGCTCAGCTAGCTAAACTTCTAGCAAATGGAGTACGGACGCCTCGGTAGAACATGAACATTGGAACACACCTTGGCAGTTCTTGATGACATGTCTCCGAGGCAACTGGTGCGGGACCAAGACATCAAGGCAAGGTTCTTTGGCATTCAGAAACACCCTAAGTCTCTGGGTGGCACCATATTCGACACCATGTTTCTTTCTATGGGAGCCCGTGAGGACAAAATGCATTCAATGATTTGTAACGGTTTAATAACTTTCGCCATTAAAATAAGAAAAGAAAGCACAGGTTTTCTATTAATTTCTCAAAAGTGATCAAAAATTGTTATTGATTAATCAAAAAGTCTACTCAGTATATGTTTATTGTGTACACATGATCAAATTAACCCTTTAATGCCAGACACTTAACATTTTTCAGAAAACTATTTGTTGAGTAATGTTAAAACAATTATATATATTGTAAATAGCTATAAAACTATAATATAAAAGAACTGGCACTTTGATTCCCCATTTAATAGAGCAGTTTTTTTATTTGTTAGGAACGTACTAATCCTGTTATTCAGAAGAAGGTCTCAGGAATTAAATGTGTCTGATTTCTGCTGCTATTTTATATGATTTGGATCAGTAACTGAAATAATCCTTTGAGCACAATAAAGCCATGTGAGCGTAAACGTGTTTACACACAACACAAATGATGTGAAAAAATTGGACGGGTGGTCACTCAATCAGCCTTCTGCACCACACAGTTATTTGTTTGATTTAAAACTTAAGATCCCAAAAGAGAAATTAAATTAATGATGGGGTAGTTATATGCTGTAGCCAAAGTATAATTTATCACACACGCACACACACACACGTGTCCCTGATGGGACAGACTGTTTTCACTCAGAGAGCATCTGCTCCTCTCCTGTCTGGTTACTTCCTCAAATTCCTGTCCCTCCCGCTGCTGTAGAGACGCGTCCTGTTCTCCAGACAGACGATCTCGCTGCCTGCCAGACTCTGCCTGACCCACTGCCAGTAGCTTTTCTCTGTGCTCAAGTGCAGACTCACTGGGGAGTTGCAAACATCACTACTGTGCAAATTCAGCTAACAAAGTGTCACTCCTTTCAAGACATGTGCCTCCGCACAGAGCCAAACGAAGGCCATACATCAGGACATGGCAGGGTGTCATCATAAAGGCACTCTAGCAGCAATTTATAATCATGTTTTTAGTGGCAAAGCCTCAGAGTTAGAGCTGCCGTCATCATTCATGGAGGTAGAAGAGGGGGACAGAGTAGAGGACCTTGCAAGGGGAGCTCAGATCATCTAAATTTGCAAAAAAGTGGCATTTAAAAACACACAAACACATTTTACTTTTACTTATTTAAAGTTAAAAATACATTTTTTATAGAGATGAAGGGCAACAATGCACAAGGTGGAAGTTTTACTCAATTATTGAATCGTACGTGTGTTAGCCTCTGAATCTTTTCTGTTTGCCGAGACGAGGAGTCATCCGTGTCTAACTAGGGGTAATGATGTAGTCCTTTTCACCTTGAGGCCAACAGATGAGCAGCAGAAGGCAGCAGCTGAGGCAGCATTTTCATCTCACTCTGTCAATCTCTCTATCCCTTTCCCCTCAACACTCTCTCATTCAGACTCTAGAGACAACACATTCAACCGTGCAGCCGTCTCATTACGCTGCCTGATTATTCCTCCTTGACGTTAAGCTTGATGAAAAAGTGCAAAGGTGTCACCTGATGCTCACACGTGACTGTCTGGAGGCAGGTAGAAGCGGCGCTGCAGTGGGAAGCGGAGCAATTGATGGCAAGTGACAGAGCAGAAGAAGAGCTTACAGCTATCCTAAAAAAAGAGTGCAGCGAAAGCTTTAAGTCTCGGGGGAATTTAAAAGCCACGGAAATCCAGTTTTGGATATTAAGAGGCTTAATCTAAGAGCTTGCTGAGATGGAGTTTTGCTGTGTGGGCTCCATCACTATCATCCCTGACAGAGGTTAGAGAGGAGACTATGGGGGGATAAGGAGAACAAGAAGGCCGATGGGAGCAACGATGAGGAGAGTGCAGCTGAGTAGAGTCAAGACAGCCTCATGTGTTTTCAGCTCACTTCTAATACTGTGAGTTTTCACCTTCCTGCATGTGGTGCATCCTGACTTCATGATTCTAATCTTTTTGTTTTTAAGCTTTGGTAAAAACTGGATGGGACAGAATCAAAAGCAGGATGCAGCTGCACTGAGTCAGAGACTGTGATTCGTTTGTGTCCTAACTGATCACAAGAAAGTGATCCAGCAGTTGAGCACAACAATAATGCTGAGATGAAACTCATTATCGTCAAGCTGCAGAAGTCTCCCTGAGATAAAGAAGAGAAGAGACAGCAGGGTGGCTGGACAACATGAATTCCCCGTTTTTTCTTTTAATTGACATTCCTGCTTCTAGATAAAAAAATGGTCCGATTTTAGTTCTGCAGACTTCAACCCACCCCAATACCAACAGAATCAAAACCGTGCAGTAAAAAACGCATTGTAATAAAAGTCTTTGTGAATCTGTGGTTCTATGTTTAGGAGGAATTAATCGGGGCGGGGCAGCAGTGCCGACGTTCCTGCGAACCCCAACGATGATCCAGCCTCACCTGGACATGAAGCCCTTCCTGCAGTTCCCCATGGAAACTCCCCCGCCTCCACACAGCATGAGCCTCTTCCACAACTTCAATACTGTAAGACCCAATACACACACTCATGCACGTACGTATGCATGCATGCATGAAAACACACACACACACACACACACACACACACACACACACACACACACACACACACACGTTTGTATTTCTATCATAGTGAGGACCATCCCTTGACTTCCACCCATTTTTGTGACTGTGTTATGCCCAACCCACACCTAACCCTAACTAAAACTTAATTCACACCTTAGCTCTAAAACCAACGGGTAAGCTATTTTTTAAAAAAGGTGAGGACCAAAAAAAAAATGTCCTCACTTTTTAAGGAAATAGTGGAAATGGTCCTCGGTAGGTAGTAAGTACAAGAACACACACATTTACGCACGCACAGACGCAGAGCTGCAGTGCTGTAAGTTTTCCGCCGCAGAAAGAAGAACAAAAGAGCCTCCTAGATTTATGCAAATGTTGTGTTTTGCAGGTTGTGCTGTGTGATGCTTTTATGTAAAGTGCAATTATTGATTGTGTGTGATGTCTGGTTTTAGGTGCATTAGTTTGTAGTGAAGCATGCCTTTATATATTAGAGTTTTATTGCTGCATCTGTGTATTATGACAGGTCTATATATTTAGAAAAAGCTGTGCATTCCCAGACTGCAGTTTCTCATGTACACACTCTATCCCATTCCTTAAATCAAACACTGGTAATTAAAGAGCAGCTCTGAGGCTATCCTCATCGCTGTGCACTTCAAACACAACACTTTGTTTGATGTATTTATTTTAAGGTATAGCAGAGAGAGATCTTCCCTCAGCTCTAACTAACATCATTTAGATGAGACCGTAGAGACATTTATCATCTCACCAGCTCAGCAGAATGTGTTGCTGCTCGTTTAGACTCTGATGATAAACGCTTTTCCTTTCAGCAGTGTGTGAGATCAGTGAACTAACTGAAGCTTCATGTAGGTCAGAGCCGTGCATCGAGCATGTTTTCATCAGTGCGCAAAATGGAGTAAACTTTAAATATCTGGCAGTGGATTTAAGGGGCTGTTAATTGAAGGCGTACACATCCTCTACGTTTAATTCCCACAAAATCCAGCATTATCTGAGTATTTTCTGTGACTCTTAGCTGTTACCACATGGAAATGTAGATTAACACCTGGAACTGATTGAGTGACAGCCATTTTTGTATTTTTTCAGCTTTATTAACTATGATGGCCATATTGAATTTGATTGACTCAGAAACATCAAATAATAACTTTCTGAAAGTTGTCTTCCTGAGATTTATTTGCTAACAGATAAACACACACAGGCAAAAACATTAGCACCCGCCTTTCTCTACAAGCCCCTTCAATCCTTCATTTTTATTTCATCGTGTTGCCTCTGCATCCGTCTCCTGGGACACCTCACTTGCTTTTCCTCTTCTTCTAATTCCTCTCGGCTCCTCATCCTCCTCTTTAGAGCATCAGCTTCCTGTGAAGGTCCACAGGGACTTTGAACGTTAAGGGGTGTTGCAGCTGAGAAGCAGGTGGTGCTTTTCAGGTTCATGGCCAGGAGATGGGGCCATAGGAGAGGTTTGGAGGAGTTTCATTATGCAGCTTTTAACATGACTGAGCTTTTTAAGAACAAGTAGAAACAACACTCATGCTCTCTGATACCACTGCGTTTGATTTAAGCGTAGAGAAAAGCATTTATCGCCTGAAGTGCATCACACAGAACTGACATCATGTTCTGTGACAAAAAAGCTGAAAATTGGATCTACTTAAGTTGCTGCAGTTAGCATCTTCATGTTTTGCTGTGGAGGGAGTCACGAGCCTGCAGCCTTCCCTGAGACTTTTATGTTTCATTTAGTGTTGCGTCGATGAGTACATGTATCCAGGAAGACTGAAGGGAGTGAGCGCCTGTGGCTTTCTTTACACGTATTCTGGTTCTTCTCTGGACTCAGTCAAGACTCTGCAGCTCTGAGAATTGTTCCTGCACACGACAGACAGCTGGTTATTCTTTCATTCTCTTTAAATAATTGATCTTTGCTGAGTTTGTGCAGACATAATGAGAGTCTGCTCCGCACTGAGGGTTAGCAGCCCCAGAACTGAAGAGAGAAATGGCATTTCTCGAAGCTGTATAGAGCTATGATTGTCCTCTAATGGGGGTTCTCTCTCACCTTGCTCAGTGTGCCTGCACAGACACGGTGATGAGTGAACTTTCTGACACCTACAGTATGCAACCACAAGGATCCACTCAGATTAGAGTTTGTTTAGCTCCTCATGTAGCCTCGTGAGAGATGAAGTCCTCGGTTGCTGAATCACTCCCAGTTTAGATACAAAACGCATTCATCCTTTCATTATGATGAACAAGTGCATTGTTACAATATTTGTTTCCTTCCAAATTCCATTCATTTTTGTCACAAATTGAAAGACTTGGGTTATTGTATAAAGTTTTCCCCCAAAGACTTAAAGTCTCTGGACTCTGTGTTTGCTAGTCTATGAGTCTTCCTGCTTTCTGAGCCACTGTTAGAAAATCTGAGCCTGATTAAACTCAGAGTCGAATGTGAGAAGACTCCTTAAAAAACAACACATACGTGTTTTCAAAAAGAAGAAGCAGCTCACTGATTCATTTCTTCCCAGATGAAAACGATTAGCAGGAGGCGCTTATCTGTTTGTATGTTTTAATGCGTGTGGAGTGATTTTTGTGGGAGGGACTGTGTGATGCAAGTTCTCTGGCATTTTTGTAATACTTTCACTGTATGTAGATGAACTTCAACATAAACTATCAGGATTTTGACTGTAGAAATAACGGGTTAAAATAACTTTTGATTGTGTGCATGTTAGCCAGCTCAGTGGTCCAGTGGTATGAATATCTGCCCTATAACTGGAAGATTGTGGGTTCACATCCATAGCTGGTCTTACTGAAGACCTTCAAAACAGGATCATGTCTCTCCACTTGACACTCAGCATGTAAAATGTTGCTTTGATAGAACGTTGGATAAAACAACCGCAGGAACACATGAAGGCAGCAGGAAAAACAACAGGAGGCAAGCCTGAGAGTACTTATATATAACTATATATTGGATAAAAAGCTGGAGTGAGTATTAAAGTTATGGTGATGTGGAACATTTTTTTAAACGATTATTTTTGATTATAATCTGTCACTCTGAGTTTTTCATGCAAACTGAACATGAAAGTTGTTTTCTACACCTATCTTCTGCATTAGCTTCTGATAGAAACTCTAGGATTAGAAAATCCTGACAGATCTATGTCACACTGCCACTTAACGTTCATGGACTCAACCATCTTGACTCACGACAGGGAAGGCTGTTGTTGGTTTAACATCCACGAATCAGCAGAGAACGTCTCAGCAGGTAGAAGATAGCCGTTATCATTAGCAACTCCACCAAACAGCAGGACTTCTCCAGGCTTGTGCTATTTGTGGAGATAAAACATGAATTTTGTAAAGTAAACAGAGACAGTGGTAGAGTCACGTTGCAGTTAGCTAATCAGAGGTGAGTCGTCCAAATAACAGGAAATAAGGCTCCAAAACCTGGCATGTTAGCTCATTCACTGCCAGCTGTTTCCTGACCAGTAAAACCCTTCACTGCCCGCGTTTCTCATCGTTTTCATGTTCATATCAAGAGTCACAGAATGTTGTTCGCTAGGATGATGTTAACGCCAAAACTAACAAAACAAATGGGAAGACTCACCTCTTACACCAGGAAGAATCCGCGTGTTTCGAGCGTTATCCGTTCTTTCATAATCTGTTGTCGAATTGTGATCGGCAGAAGCTTTTCTGGTTTGCGCCTCACCTTTTTTTTACAGCAGCGGCCCAAAATGATCTCCTAACACATGGATTATCTGCTTCCTGATCACGTGACGTGTGACGTACGTGGATGAAGGTTGGCTTTAGAGCTGGGATGTTTGTTCTCACGGTGCGGGGGCTTGTTCTGATGCCCACACAGTAAATAAATGCAAATGATAACTTTAGTCGTCATTGGCATAGAACGATTGGATTTATAATGACAACATTTGTCATCAATGATAGTTAATGAGTTAAGCTCTCCTTTGATGTGACGTTCTGCTAGTTCCTGAAACAGGTGCACCTGAGCTTTTATCCCCTAAGTACGACTTGCAAGGCATTAATTCACTAGAACTGCAAATGTACTGATTAAACGAGTATCCCACACCTTCAAAGTGAAAGCAAAAAGGCAAAAAGGTATTGAAAACTAAATTACAGAATCATGTGACTAAATGCTTAAATAAAAATAGAAAAGACTTAAAAATGGGTCAAAGGGAAGTTGTTTTCTCATGATTATCTACATCCCACTTTTAAATTCAGAAAATAATGGATCCTTTTGTGTGCCAAAAACTGCTGAGTTTTCCTGAATATGTACTAATCTACTTTGTACCAATTCAGAATACGCATACTGAGTGATTAAGGACTCAAAGAAAAAGAAGAAATAGCATATTCTTTGCATAATTTAAGAACAGATGTTTTCTACCCATCTTACAGCACGCAGCTTTCCTTTAGCTCATACATTCAACATTTTATTCACAATTGCGTGTTGGAAGTGATGAGCAGAGAAAGGCTTCCAGTAGCTGCTGATGACATTTTATGGAGGAAGCACTGGATTCAAACAGAAGGACATTTGGACACTGCATCTGGACAGATCGAGCATGCATGAAGAAAATGGGAGAGAGCAAGAGATACGGAGCTCAAAAGGGGAGGAGGAAACTGGAAGGCAGAGGGAGGGAAATAGAGTGAAGCGTGAGGCAAAGTAAGGAAAAGCTTTTGAGAGGCTTAGGAAGAGGAGGCTGAATAGAAGACACACTTGATGAGTCATGTGTTGAAAGGAAAGACACAGAAAGGAACCTTTCTTAGTTGTAGAATATGTGCTGAAAAGGTTGGCTGGAAATGCATCACTAGGCACAAGCCCTGTTTGTTGTTGTGAGAGCGTGTCTGCATCTAGTTGGACAACCCAGCAGTTGGCTGAATGAGTGAGGAAGGTGCACCGCACATTAGTCTCACACATCCAGAGACACAAACATTAAGCTTGGCCAGCGGTTCACAAACAGGAGGACAGATGCAGCTTCAAGCTCCAGCTGACACAGATGAGAAGAAGGTGAGTATGTGAAATAGTTATTTTTGAGAAATTTAATTTGTCTCAGATATTTAGCAGATTGTGTGATTTAAAAGGTTTTTGTTCTTCCAGAGAACAAGTTATTTTTTTAAGTTCACTGAGTTGAACCAATGTGCTTGAAAAAGAGAAATAAATTGTAAGAAAAAATGAAAAACAGGATGAGGTTGGAGCAAAGTCAAAGCAAATTAACACCAGAGTAGCTTAGAGATGCATGAATAATTTTGGAGTAGTTTGGATTTAAACTCATCAGTTGATGTTGACTTTGCCAGTGATGTGAGTCGGCCTTTGGCCGAGCAACAACAATGAGTGATTTGTCAACAGAACTCGGAATTTTAATACTGTTTTCTGGATTTCTGAAAAATGATGTGTAAATGGGTTTTGGAAAATCCCTCAGAAATGACATCATTCTGCTCTGCTCTCATTTCACGAGCACATGTTTCTGGGTACGATGTGAAGTGTGCTGCCTTCCAAGGGCTTGTTGGCAGCTGTGTTTTCTAACAACTGAACTGGGTGGAGGGGTTGCAGCTGATAAACACACACACACACACACATACACACACACACCCTAACATGCTGGCTGGACTGGGAGAAACCCTGTGATTCATGTGTAACATTAACTCTACGCCACGCCTCTTTGAACTTATGCTTAACTCCCGTCGCAGACGGGGGTTAAAGGGTCACACTATGGCATTCAAAACATGTAGCCCAAGCAAGATCTGACAGAATTGTAAGAAATTATTAACGAGTTGATTGTTGGTATAAATGGCTGGCTTGTTTCAGTTCTTATGTTCAAGTCTCATGCTGCTTTTTTGTGAAGATTTTCAGACAGTTAATGGTTCTTTTCCAACCATCTTTGCTGCATAGCCTATTTTAGAACATTTCTACGGAGACAAGGAGAGATTTGTGTGTCGAATGGCACCAAGAACCAAATGAGATAAGACTGTGACGATGTCCGGAGAGTCTCTTCCTCCCTCTATGTGCAATCTGGGCTCTTTCCCAGCTTTCTCCTCTTCACTTTTATATATTTTTCAATTAATCTTCCTTTCCCACTCCGTCACTCATTTGCAGCTCCAGATGGTGTGTTTCTGTACTCTCATGCTTCCCGGCAAAATTTCTTTTGGCTTCTTTCCATATCATCATTTATTTTAGGAAGCTGAAAGCTCTGTGGACATTTTTAAGCTGTTTGTGTTTGACTTATCAGAATATTCCTTATTTTTCCGTGGCTCCTCTGGTGATTGAGCCATTTGTACAATAGCTGGGACTCAGGGTGTGAAATGACTTTGGGGAAAAGTTGGCGATGATCCAAATGAAACACGGTAATGTACCAAATCAAGTCAGTTTGTCGGACACTTGGAAAACACAGGAATATTCATCCTCGTGTAACCCTGATGAAGTCAGAGCATCAAAGCAGTTTTCAGGCCACAAGTTTGGTTTATTTGTATTGTTTTTGCAGACACTTATACTTGCTTTGGCTGCAGGCATGTTCCAGGCGGTTGTCTGTGGTGACAAACAGCACCGGACACAGACTCCAGACTAATGCTAAGGTCAACTGACAGTAATTGCTGGATAAATTCAGCTTCAGACCCAGATAAATAATTGGAACGGAGCCCTTTAAGATCAATGCGAGCATGGCATTTTGTGTCCGGGACACATTTGTGTGGAGGAATTAGATGCTGACACGCTGGAGGTGCTGCTAAGTGAGTTAGTTAAATTTATACAACATGCTGATGACTGACATCCCAGCTGAAACTGTTACTGCTGAGGGCCGTGTGGTGCTGTAACCTGGTCAGGATCAGAGAAGACTCAGACTCATTCGTTGATTTTGGTAGCTCAGACCTCTGGAAAAACGAATTACAACTCATATTTTTAGCTTTTCTCTCTCTCTTTCTTCTTCTCCCCCAGATGGACCCGGTGCAGAAGGCTGTGATCAACCACACCTTCGGAGTTCCTCTAGTGAAGACCAAGCGGCCGGTCATCTCCTGCAACGTCTGCCAGATCCGCTTCAACTCAGAGGTTAGAGGAACAGAAAGAACAATTTCATTGTGTGCCGCAAAGTTTAACACGCACAATGACACATGTTCAATCACTATAGAAAGTAAATATGCTGTTAATAGCACATCACACTATTGACCATAATACAGTGGATGGTATGAAAGATTACCCTTTTATCAAAAACACATTTAAAAAGCAGATAATGTGTGTTTAAAGTTATGCATCTTTATTTTATAAGTGCAGCTAATTCAAGACACTGATTAAGTTTTTGTCAGGATCAAGTTTCCTAACTTGTGTGTGAGCTTAGTAAAGCAACTGCAGCTGCCAGTTGGTTCAAGTAATCTGGATTCCATTGGTGAGAGCCATCATCTGCAGGAGGAAACAACACAGTCCCCTGTTTTCAGAGAAGTGGACATCCTGACATGTTCACCCCAAAGTCAGACTGCTCTAAGAGGAGCTGTGAAATCCAAGAACTACATCTGAGACACCACTGGCCTCGGTTAGCATGTCAATTGTCAAAGAGCATGGTAGTTCAGAAAAGTCGCCAGGAAAAAGACTCTTATATCCAAAAAGGACATGGCATCACAGCTTAGGTTTGCAAAGTTGCATTTGATTAAGCCAGAAAACGTCTGGAACGATGTCCTTTAAACCAGCCAGACCAAGGTGAAGACGGTTTACCAGCACGCGTATCTTAATGGTCTATTGGTTGAAATTCTACCTTATTGGTGTGAATTATGACACACGCCAAATTCTTTAGTCTTGTTTTCCATAAACCAGGCAGATTAAAGTGTCTGAGGTGCCCTAAAGTACCCCACATATCATCTGTCAGGTGGTTGATGCTCAAACTAAACTGGGTCATATAGCAGAAAAGTGTTCACAAATGAATTTGCAACCAAATGAAATCCCTCAACAATGATTTGTTCAGTCGTTTATAACAGAATAAAAACGATACAAATGTAATCTGATGACCAAATAAAAGTCCTGACCTGGAATAGACGAAAACAATGTTAAAGACAGATGAGGGCGCACAGGACACAAGACACTAAAGATGCCACTGGAATGACATCACTCTAATTCATTTCACCAGTTTAGAGTCAGTGGAGGTAACAACTAATTCAATTCAATTCAAGTTTATTTATATAGCGCCAAATCACGACAAGAGTCGTCTCAAGGCACTTCACATAATAAAAATTCCAATTCAGGTCAGTTCATTAAGCCAATCAGAAATAAAGTTTCCTATATAAGGAACCCAGCAAACTGCATCAAGTCACTGACTAGTGTCAGTGTCTTTACAGCAATCCTCATACCAAGCAAGCATAAAGCGACAGTGGAGAGGAAAACTCTCTTTTAACAGGAAGAAACCTTCAGAGAATCCTGGCTCAGTATAAGCAGCCATCCTTCACGACTCACTGGGGATCGAGAAGACAGAGCAGACACACTCACACACACACACACACACACACACACACACACACACACACACACACACACACACACACACACACACACACGCACACGCACACGCACGCACGCACGCACGCACGCACGCACACACACACACACACACACACAACTATTGCATCTGAAAGCACAACTGCATAAACAATAACATGTTATAAGATGTTTGACCAAGATTTCAAGCATACATAAACACCTAACATAAACAAGTCCACTTAAAGTTTCCAGAGAGCATTTATACGTTTAAAGTTGAACCTCACAACTACACACAAACACCCATAAAACTTGTTTCCAACATACTTACACAAATGACAAATGAATTAAAGTAGAAGCAGAAGTATTGCGTTAGTTGTGATGCCAAAACTTCTACTTGTGTAGAGAAGTCATGAGATAACATCTGTGCTAAATGTCAAGTGTGCAAAGTATAATTTTGGTGGGACTTTCCCCTCACTGGCAGCTCTGGCTCAACCATCCATAAGGAGTGGACCAGTTCTATATATATGTAAGCTGCAGCTCTACAATCATGGTTTCTATGTGGTTATGCAGCAGGGCTGTAATCTTCTCTTTTAGGGTTTTTTCTGTTCTTTGTATTCTCACAGCAAACAGGAATCAGTCATGATTAAATATATAAAAAACTGTTGAGACTCACAGCCAGTGATCAAGTATTGGATTCTTTTGTTCTGATGCTTTATATTTATTTATTTATTTATTTATTTTGTGTCCTGTCTGGCTGTGAATCAAACAGAATAAATGTCTGAATGCTGGTGACAAGCCTTACAGACTTACTCTCAGGTGGAGCTTCAAAGCTGCTGCTCTTAATGTCACGCCTGATACTTGAAACTTTATTCTTATTGTCTTTTTGAATGCTTGTAATTCTGACCAGAAACGGAGACAGAGGTGAAAGAGGAAGGAAGATACAAAAGGAGGTGGGGGGGGGGTCCACAAAAATAAGCAATCAATGATGAACAACAGTCTGCTTCTAGACCTGCAGAGGGAGAACAAAAAAAGAAAAGGGACACACAACATTACTACAGGAGCAAGCTATCGCTAACCCTAACCCTGAAATCAACATTGTTTAACTGAACAATGATGATAATAAATCATAGTGCATTTAGTGCCAACCACAGCCTTAAGACATGTGTTGAACGTGCCCAAGTCCATACTTATGAGAACACGATGTGAGCACCTGTGTGTGTACACGCGCTTGTATATGTAAAGTTTCTTTATAGGAGCATCCAATAGAGAGTGTGAGGGGCCACAGATCTGCTCCCCAAAGATGTGTAGGAGATGGAAGGAGCTCCAAGTCCCAGAGATCCAGGAGCTGCCCCCAGAGCCCAGGGACACCAAGGAGACTGCAACCAGAAAAGCCCCAGCCCCCCTCGAGAGGCACAGAGGATTGCCCCAGGGGGCCACAACCAACAGTGGCAAGCCTACAGGCCCGCCCGCAGCCTCCCACCCCCAAGCCGGCCGAGCCCGGAACCCAGCGACCCGGGACCCAGGGGCGACCAGCCCAGCCGGGGACTCAACAGAGCCCAGGGACTCAGATCCCACCAGGCAGCCACCGGGATTAATCAGACAGATGCCAAAAATCTTAAACCCCCTGACTCAGGAGCTGCAAACACTCAGGCAGACCAAGGTACCGCACTCCACACCAGGTGTGGCAGGGGGAGGGGAGGCGAAGATGTATAGCAGCAAAATAAGTCCCAGGAGAGGAGAGGAGTCAAAGGCCTCACCTGAAATATACAGTCATACACAAACACAGTCACACACTCCCTCCCTCATGCTCACACAGGAAGACCTGCCTTGCTCTAGACAAAGATCTAGGTTTTAAAGATTTATTGTTCATTTTACACTTTCAGCCCTAAATGATAATCCAGATTGTGTGCAGGATTGCATCAAGAGTGACCGTCACTTTACAGAGTACAAAAGAATAAAAGACTTGCTGCAGCACCATCTTATATAATAACTCCCTATCCAAAATGTCTATTTAAAGATGATAATTTCATTTAATGTGTTCTTGCTCATTTATTAAATCAGCGTTAATGTTGACATTCCTTTTGCTCTTTTTCTGAAACTTTGGTTAGTTAGATATAAAATAAACATACCATTTGTCTTTAAAAAAAATCACAAAATCTTTTCCCACTCATTTCATTTTGCATATAACTTTATCTCTTTTCATTTGCTCTTTTCTCCAAACTTTCCTTTTTCCCCCTCCATCCTCATATTTCATCTTTGAGAATCATCTTTTCCTTCTCTCCATCTTTCCCCCAGTCTCATTATTTATCTGCATTGTTTACAGTGTTGAACTGCCTAAAGTTGCCTGCCACCACTTATTATAAGATGCATTTGTCAAGGGCATGGATTAGTGTCTGGCGCTGACAGCCCCAATGCATCTTGGGAAACAGAAAGAGGGGGGTCTCGGGGAGAAAGGACGGGAGCAGAGGACAGAGGGGGAGGGTTTGTGTCTCGGTGTTGGGGGTGGTGGTGTGAGGTGCTAAATGCTGAGTTATGCTGAATAACCTTGGTGGCATGCTGCAATAATGACATCATAGTCTCAGTGGGGGCTGACGTCACAGCCGCTGCAGCAGGAACAGGATAATATACATCTCTTATTTAGTCCTTGCACTATTGCCAATACTCTTGTTCGTCTCCTTGCATATTTGTTGTTTTGCGTTTCTTTGTTGTTACATTTTTCGTCTTAAAATTGCGACTGTTGTTCTCTATGTATCGTAAATTGAATGAGTTGAAGCATTGCAGACTCTAATCTGTTTCGTCTTTCGGAGAGTCCGGCCCTCATACATCTGGGTATAATCTCTTTATAAGCTTCCATGCCTTTTTATCTCTTCACCAGTTTTCTCACACTTGGATGTTTGCCAGTTGATCCCTTTGACTTGATGGGAGAGGTTATGAGTACATATGTGGCCGCTTTGCTATGCGCTACCACACTTTTTTTTATCTCCCAGCACTCCCTGCTTCACTGCAAAGATCTCACTTCACCCTAATCTCTGGGCTTTACTGGAGCACTTCCTTAAACCCCCTTTGGCAGGGGACAGTTCTCATCATAATTTATATGAAACAGGTGACCCTTCAGCTAGCTGCAGTGCCTTTAAAGTCTCATCATGTTAAGTCTTGTCCTAGATGCGACCACACACTCACCTAAAGCCAAGTCAAACAACAGGTCTCACTGACATTACCCATCAGCCCCCTGCCTGCTTCGCCAAGCCAGGCAATCTCCACTCTTGAGCCCGTGATCAGCGTGATGTCGTAGCTGTCAGTCAGTCAGTCAAAGCGTCCAAGTCTTTCAGCTCCCACGACAGCTGTCAGCTGCTCATCAGGACAAAGTCTCTCCCATGATCCAGCCTTTTCAACGAATCAATATCGTCTTAGTTTGGTTTGACATATGATGGAGTCAAGTGCAGCAGGAAAAACAAATGAGGTTTGCACAAGTTGTCTTTTTTCTTAGTGTGAACCTGCTTTCTGATCTCTCAACTGCAAAGTCAGAGTTCTGCATGGCAACCCCTTAACCCATCCACCATGTTGACCCTGGCTCTGCATACCTCTTTGGTAGGAACATGGGGAGCTAAAGACAGACTGTCCACATAATCTTCTGACATTGACTGTCTGGAAAAACATGTTAGACAGAACCTAGCCTGTCATCAAGCGATTACCCTTATGAGCTTCCGTAAACGATCTCTGCACCTCTCTGTCCATGCATGCAGAATAACTTTAGTTTTTTTTAAACAAAGCAACAAAAATGTAGAGAGTGAAAACATTAATCCATGCAAGCTATAACAAGATCTCCATCAAGTAGCCGTCCATCCTTTTTCATCCGCTTATCCAAGGCTGGGTCACGGGGACAGAAGCCTAAGCAGAGAGGCCCAGACTTCCCTCTCCCCAGCCACTTGGGCCAGTTCCTCCGGGGGAATCCCAAGGTGTTTCCTGTCCAGCCGAGAGACACATTCCCTCCAGTGTGTCTTCCTTTAGGTCTCCATAGGTAGGAACGTAGATCGACCAGTAAATCAAGAGCTTTGCCTTCTGGCTCAGCTTTCTCTTCACCACAACAGACCGGTACAACTCCCGCATTGCTGTAGATGCAGCACCAACCCACCAAACTATCTCCTCCATATTCCCCTCAGTCGTGAACAAGACCCCCAAGATACCTAAACTCCACGTGAGGCAGGACCTCATCCCCGACCTTTTTTGATTCAAGACCATGGTTTCAGATTTAGAGGAGCTGATTCTCATCCCAGCTGCAAACTGGAGATCACGATCTAGACTGGAGATCAAACAGGAGCTCATCATCTGCAAAAACAGAGACTTGATCCACCAAAACAGATCTCCCCAACACCTTGAGTGCACTTAGAAATCCTGTCCATTAAAGTTATGAACAGGATCGTGACATCAGGTAGCTTGTGTTTTATTAAATTTAAATAATTTAAATGTCAAATTTCAGAAATAATGAGGCTAGTTCACTTTTTGTGTTTGTTTGATGGAAAATGGGAGTAATTGCCTCAATACCCAATCTATAGATTATGAATCCTAAACAGCAAAAGCATTGTCTATGGAATAGCATTGAAGCATCAGACTTTTGTTAGAATCTTTTGTTCTCATCTTGCTTCTGATCTCTTCCTGGTGGCCATCTGCTGGCTGCCCGTCATGACTTCAGAGGAGATTAAATAACATACTAGCATAAGGACATGGTTTCACATGTGACAGAGAATCTAATCCCACCTGTTGTCTACCTGCTGGCACTGGTGTGCACTTTCAACCTGAACTTGTCTTTTTGTGACTCCACAGAGCCAGGCAGAGGCCCATTACAAAGGGAACCGCCATGCCAGAAGAGTTAAAGGCATCGAGACCTCCAAGAGTCGTCCTCAGGAGGGGGACAAGTCACATACCGTACCTCCCACCTCATCCCCGTCTCCACCTGGAGCCCCTGGCACTGTCCCAGACAGTGAGCCTGGTAAAGCAGGTGAGAAAACAAAAAAATTACAAACTGAATAAAGGTGTCTGTGGGAAAGTTATTGTTGAAGTAAACATTTAAACCCAATCAGAATGTCCAAGGATCAACATTTTACTAAAAAGTAAACTGGAAAACGTTCAAGAATAACAAAGGGTTTTAATCACAGTGGCTTTGCAGAAAATAGCTGATTCTGTGAGAAACTTACTCTAACAAAAATGTTCTCTGTGTGGTCTGGTTTAGCTGCAGGAGCACAGTCCCACAGTCAAATGACACAAAAAAGTAAAACATTTATATTTGTTAGGGTTAAGATCAGGGGCAGATTTAGGACTGAAGAAGATCCGGGGCTTAACCCACACACACGCTCGCACATGCGCGCGCACGCACACACACACACACACACACACACACACACACACACACACACACACACACACACACGTGACACGCACTAGTCAACATCATATATGTCTTGTACCACATAATTTTTAATCTGAAGCTACATATTAAGCATATTCAGGGCAGAGTATTGTTCCTGTTAGTGTTTAGTGTGAGATGATAGTAAATATTCCCTTTCTTTCTCCAACAACTGATAGTCAGCTAACTTTAGGCAAACCAGCAGCACAACAAATATTTTCAAATAAGACTCACAAACCTGAGTCAACACCAGCCTCATCAAAGCTGGGGTTCTGTCGTTGTACTTTTTGTCTAAAAAACGTCCTTATGTCCATCTTCACTCATGCGTTTCAGGCTGAAGGGCTTCTTCTTCAGTGGTGGAGGCTCAGGCAGGCTGTATACAAACTACTGTCAGCTGCTCCCTCTCTGTTGGACTTTGGTACTGCATGTTACTTCCACGATTCAGATCCGGGGCTTTTCATAAAACATTCGGGGCTTGAGCCGGGCTTAACACCGCCCCTGGTTCAGATTGAGGAAATTACTTCTAAATATTAAGAATAGAAGGATGCAGTTAATTTTTCTTCAATGTTCTGAGGAAATATTTTGTACGTTTATTACCGTACCTGGTGTAGCAAACGGATTCGCTTTAACCATGACAGGCGAGGCAATGGCTAATCCCAATTGCAAATTAAATGAAATAACCATCCATTCATTCATTATTGTCCACTTATCTGGAGTTGGGTTGAGGGGCAGCAGCCTAAGCAAAATGGCCCAGACTTCCCTCTGTCCAGCCACTTGGGTCAGCTTCTCCGGGGGAATCCTAAAGCGTTCCCTGGCCAGCCGAGAGACATAGTCCCTCCAGCGTATCCTGGGTCTTCCTTCAGGTCTCCTCCTGGTTGGACGTGCCAAAATGACCTCACCAGAGAGGCATCAAGGAGGCATCCTAACCAGATGCCCGAGCCACCTCCACTGGCTCCTCTTGATGTGGAGGAGCAGTGGGTCTACTCCGAGCCCCTCCCGGATAATAACAGTCACTCAAACAAGCTAAATTATAATTTCATGTTATTTCACAAAATGAAACAGATCTGCCATCTCCACTGCTGAAAAAATTAACAGTTGTGTTGTGTTTTGGATGCTTGTTCAGCATGCTAGACCAGCATCCTGTACCAGTAATGTATGCTGGTCTGCCAGCTAAACCAGCACCAAAACACAACATATGCTGGTTTATGCTGTTTTTTTTTCAGAAGGATCAAATCATCGTTGAATGTGTATTCAAGTAAAAGGTGTTGATTCAAACTGATATACTTACTGACGGGAAGAAGGCCGATGTGCAATCGGTCAAAGCTGATCTAGAATCTGTTTAGCGTGCAGTTTAACAGAACATGCCATCAGGCAGTGGAAGATCAAACCACAATAAAGCTGATAGATAACAAATAAAGCTGACCTGTGCAGAAAGGACAACAACAGGAGCTGATACGACTGTAATGGAAAGTTATTATTATGAATGAGATCTAAGGAATGGCAGTGTCATTCCCTAGAGGAACATCTTTAGCTCTGTCTGTGTTGTTTTAGCCTTCCTTCAGATCACTCTGTCTGACGTACCCTCTTATTTTAAGCTATCATTTAGACGATAAACGCGGAGGACATTTTGCCCTTCTCCTTTCTCCATATTGGATTTTCCATTCCCTCAGTGTCACCGCTCTGTGTTTGGATCAAACAGCAGCCAGCCAATACATCTGCCAAATTTTCATGACATTTGCAAAGCTTTCTGTTGCTGATGGCTTTCCATTTTCATCACGCTGATAAGAGAGAGAACAGAGCAAGCACTACTTGTACAAAGACTCAACTCAGGCCCAAGAAAGGCTAATGAGTCAAAGCACGTCTGTGGATTTATCTGCACTTTTCTGGCACTTTCTTCCTACTGGTCCCAGGAAAGCAAAAAAAAAAAAAATCTGTCCTTTTTTTTCTTCCTCATAAGGAGAATCATGGGATCAATCTCAAATCAGTCCCCATTACTGAGAGTCCCAAGTGCACAAGGGTCCAAAACCAGTCTGTCACGATAGCGCTGTGAAAGTAGAAACATGTGAAAGAATGCCTTTTTCCATCCAAGCCCATTTCTCGTGACCCTGGAACTTTGCCTTTTCCTGATTTTGTAGTGTGCATGCTCGTGTGTGCGTGTGTGCGTGCGTGTGTGTGTGTGTGTGCGTGCGTGCGAGTGCGTGCGTGCGTGCGTGTGTGTGTGTGTGTGTGTGTGTGTGTGTGTGTGTGTGTGTGTGTGTGTCAACCTGATGGTAGTGGAGCATGCAGCTGTGTGTTTCCTCATTGTTTGGGGACAGACAGTGTGGGCCGGGACATGGAGCCACTCCGGGGCAGAACACAACAAAGAGACATGAGGTCGTGCACATCGCTTGTGTAAACATCAACAAACAATACAGTCAGGCTCAAGCAAATCATACAGATGGAGAACTGAATTCCCCACAAAAGGAGCAACGCTCACAACAGCAGCATTCCCTGCCTATGTTGACTGATTTTTCCTACCAGTGCTCCAATTTTGATGCAAAGTTCCATATTTTGAGACATATAAACAAACATAGTTGCAGCTCTGATTACCACGTGTGCTATGACCTTCATTTTTCCTGTACTATCACTTTTCATTAACACATCAAATGCAATCAGAAGTGATGATCATAAACATGACGTGCTGGGACCTTGCTGAGAGCTGAAACCGTGAAAGGTTATGGCATGAATGCTGTTGCCTCTTCGGCTGTACAGTTCCCAGAGCAGAGTTGTATCCAATCCTCAAAGGGCTTGTGGTCGTTGTTGTTGTTGTTCTCCCTAAAAAAGAGGCCCTTGGCTGTGAGGGATTTGGATTGGTGAGAAGAAGCTTTGGCTAGGTCGGCAGAAGATGGAGAGGCAGCTGTTACATTGGAGAAAAACTCTGTTATTCCTTTCCTCTTAATCCTTCTGCTGTCTGACACTCCCACTTTAATGAAGGGCCATGCTAAAACCACCCTCATATTATGGCACTGCGTAGTCCACACAAACACACACATACAGGCCTGCACACACACCCAAGGTCAATTAAACAAATGACTTTCATGTGATGGCTTGGGTTGCACGTCTGAAAGCTAACAGTGGTGTCAGATTGCACTGAGCTGAGGTCTTTCATGCTGGATTTATTAATAGTCTCACAGCTGAACAGGTTTTCCCAGAATTTGCCAGGTTTTTGTTAGTTTTGCTCTGCAAACCTGAACAACGGGACCCGATTAACACCATAGACGTTAGATGGATCAGTAACTTGAGGGTTCGGATCCAAACCAACCTGAGAAAATGCATCCAAATGCATAATGAATGCGAGAGGTTAGCGTTGGGTTTCGTAGCCTTTAAATCATTAAGAATAGGCACGGCGGAGGCAGAGACACAGACAAACTAATTATATCTTTCTGTCTCTTAGTATTTTTTGATGGAATAACAGGGTGATGCAATGTGCTAAATTTAAGTTAACCACCTTAAATTTGGAATGTAAACCAAACAAAACTAAACGAGTGCCTCACTGCATAATTGCTCCTCCCATGCAGATTTACTACAGCGTATATTCTGTTCTATGTAACCACAAAATGCTTACTCTTGCTTTTGGCTTTGAGTCTTGTAGGGTCATTAACAATAGGCTTCTAAATAAGGAGCATTTCCAAAAGCAAACACAATCACCCAGCAACAACATTTCCACATTAACACAATTCTAGTTAGTTTTTCTATTGTTAAGAAGATATAGAATATAATAGACACTGCTATGATACAAATGATGTTGCGGTTTGGTCTAAATGAAATAATCAGAACCTTTCTCTCTGAGTGCGCCCTGTATGCTCTAATTTCCTGAAGTGGATTAAGGCCCAGCAGGCTCACCCGTCTCAGTGTAAAGAATCTGGATTGAGTTATCCCCTGCTTGTGACCTCTCCCCATTAATAATAACTTCTTGTGTTTGGCCATGAGGGAGGAGGGTCAGTTTGCTGCTTTGTAAATGATTAATTAGACTTACAGAACATCCAGAGTTTTTGGGAGAGTCAGGTAACTCTGACACAGAGTTTCAGAAAGCAAGAAACCCATAGGTTTGTTCCCCTGCTCAACTCTGTTGAATATTTAGTCACCATGACTACGGTGGATACCATGTTCAAGCAGCACTTGATCTGGGGCATCCATGTTGATCCTGCAGGATAGTAAGAGGTGAAAGTGTGAGTAGATGTCCAACCAAAACCTGGCTGTCATGGATTATGAAATTCCTCATTAAAATTCAACCATCTATGGTTTCCTGCCAACTGATTGTAAGCAAAAACACGTGTTTCACTTGGCTTGCTTGCATGCTGAGGGGGTCGACAGGAAGTGTGCAGAAAATGTTCTTTGATGGAATTAATGGACTCCTCAGTGCCACATCTTCAGAGAGTGAAATATTCCTTTTCTATTATTTTTACCTACACATCTGTTTTGCAAATGCTCTGAGGGCCGGCAGCTCTGCAGCTGGAAACTTCCAATCTGCAAAGAAAAGGAATTTTGATCTGGGAAAGGAATGGGATTGAATACGTTCAAAATGGCATCTTTGTCGGATGATGTAAGACAGTACCACATCCAAAATGCACAAATGGTCAAACAGAAAGCCAGCAGCAAAAAGAGAAAGACTTCATACCGAATACAGCAGGGTGACAAGGCAAACGGGAACCCATACAAGGAAACTGCTCGGCTCAAATCAATATTTGTTCACTTTCCAGAAATACTGCGCAGCATTTCTTTAGCAGGATAATCCAGAGGGGCTTTTCTGCAGCTTTCAATGGGCGCTACATCCTGTGGAGTTTAAATAAAGTCCTCCTAGTCCCCACTAATGGGGGAGTCTGAATATCCCACACAAATTTAGGGTGTATTTTCTCAGCGCTCAAATTTAGTGAATACCAACATCCTGGAGGATGGGAGTGGCTGACCAGAAACACATGTCTGGACATGCATGGACACGCATGCAAAAATAAGTGTAAGAAATGTAGGAAAAGTAAGCGAGAAGAAAAATCACAAATTTTTTGGGACTTTGTGAGTTGCACCATGACAAAGCCGATGCCATTGCCGTCTCAGCCAGAGCCAAAAACAACAGGTGCTTTTGGCAGGAGTCACAACAAGCTGCGGTGTCTGTTTCCTATTTCTCCCTTTGGAACAGTTTAATTCAATGAGACCACATCAATGAGAGATGAAGACTTCAGACATACTGAGAGCACGCTTTACGCTCAGCAGCCATATGCTTTCCTTCCCTGAACCACTTAGATTAAAAGGATCTTTAAACCCATTTAAATCCTACGACACCGTAAACAGACAGCTCTTTCTGTTTGTGGGTTTGTCTGATCTCTGGAGCTGTTTGCGCCTCCCATGCTCCACTGAGGGTGGTTAACAATGTGGTTCACAGAATTGTATTTCCAGGGGAACTGCATGTAGGCTTTACTGTTTAAACACAGTTAACGCAGACAGTCACTATTGAACTTGTGGTTTGTTTATTCTGTAAAATCTGTTAATTCGTTCTTCTCGTTTGTTCTTTTCCTTTGTTTCTCTTTATTTGAGTTTTAGACGACACACGACCTCTGTTGCTGTTAAACGAGCCCCTATTGGCCCCGGGGCCCCTTCCCACCTTACCAAGGCCACCCACCCCGCCCATGGACTCCCCCGTCCCATCAGTGTGCCCTCTCCTTCCCACCCCCACGCCTCCCCTGATCCCCCCGACCTCCTCCTCCCCGGGTGGCGGCAGTACTGGGTCAGAGCTGCCCGGATCTGGTCAGCCGGTTTCGGGAGCTGCCGGCACTTCGGCCTCCAGCAGCCAATCCAACTCGGAGACAGAAGAGGACAAGGCCAAGAAGCTGCTGTACTGCTCGCTGTGCAAGGTGGCCGTCAACTCCCTGTCACAGCTGGAGGCCCACAACAAAGGTGGGTCATCTGTGAGCAACACGTTTCAGAAATCACCTCAAAACACTTTGATTTTTACCCATGAGGTAATTCTCTTTGGAGCTTGTGCTAACAAAGTTTGAGTTTCTGGAGGTTTCTCCCCCATTTTTTTCAGGTCTGGTTGGAATTTTCTGTGTTTACTCAAACGGCACTGTTTATGTTGGATTTAAAAAACCCAGATCGTACTCCGGGCATTTAGGACTTTGGCCAAGAAACACACAGAATGACGTTTTTGTCAAATGCAAAGACAAATCTTATGCATTTGCTTCAGTTGTTAATGCAATAATGTTTAACCCTCATGCATTCCTTTAATTTTAAACGTTTCTGCTCCTTGTAAATGCTGACAAAAAAACTTCATGTAGAAATTGTATATAATATTTAATAAATACCTCTTTTTAACATTAATTTTATCTTTGGCTTCAGCCCTGACGAAATATAATAAAATATTTGTGTGTTTCTGAGATTTAACTGTTTATTGCCAGGTATGTGATCAAAACCAGAAAAGTAAACAAATTAAATAAAATAATTCATGTGTTTCCAGAGGATGTGTTTTGTGGGTGAAATTTCAACACATTGGAGTGTCACAAGTGGGCATCAAAATATTTGCAATATTTTTTTCGCTTTTAAAGGTGTACTAAGCAGTTTGGCCTGCTTTTAGCACCCCCTAGTGTGCGTTTGTAGAAGCGAAACTATCTCCTCACTGTGCGTTAGTCTTTTTAACACCTTAATCTACCAGCCGAAACGCTTCCAGCATTCCCAAGTGTCTAGAGGAACGATTCATCACTAAATTTAACCAATCAGCTGTGTTCATGATCTAAAACATGCAGGGAACGTGCTGGAACCAGACTGCTGCACTAGGCATGTCAGCTCCATTTTAGTCCCAGCAGACCGGGCCGGCAACTGTGAAGTTGCAAGTGCAACATTCTGGCCAGATGGGGCGAAAAGGCCTGGATGGCCTTTCATTAACCCTGTAAAGGGTCATTTTAGCACAAACTGGCTCAAGCAAATTATTTAAAAATATGAAAAAATTGCAAAGTCTCCCTTTAATGCAGTGTCACTCATTGCCCCACTATACATAGGGAAAATATCCAATCAAGTGGAAAACAAAACAAAAAAATCTTAAAATTGAGTCTGTGACTGTTCTGGGAATCCAAACAGTAATCATTAAAAACAAATAAATTAAATAATTAAAAATCAAGAAATAAATAATTAACTTGACTTATTTGTAAAAAACATTTACATGGATGGGAGTCAATGGCACAAAAAATTACAAAGGAGCATTAACGCTATAAAGTCATTTTTGCATTATACAAAATGTTTTATGTGATTTTCGTTTATTGTTTTTGGCAATTCCTCTAAAAATACACATCTGTGAAAAAATTTGATAAACTGCATCAGCATAGACAAAATTATTCACAAAAACACACGTCTGCACAAAAATTCTTTCCATAGGAACGTATAAGGATTATATTTGAGAAAACAACATAATACCAATTTACAGTTTCTGAAATTAATTTAGATTTAGCCATGTCTGCCTTCCATTTTTTCTCCATTTTTTCCTTAGATGAATGACGTATTTCTGAACAATGAGCGGTTTATCTCTTTGTTTTTTTTTAAATGAATGTGTGCATAGAAAAATAAAAAAGCAACATAAACAAAATTAAAAGTGTCCCATTACACAAGTAAGAGCATTAAAAGAAGCACTGATCTGCAGATGAATGATGTTTGACATCTACGTCGCTGGCGTCCGTAACTGAAAACTGCAGCTTCAGTTTCAGGACCAGTTTCTCTCTTTTTCTTTTCTCCAAACTTGGGGTCCCTTTTATTTCTAACACAGAATCATTAACATTCCTCCCAAAACCACACACTTCTTATTTTTATTGTCGTTTGCAGCATGTTACACTAGATTTCTCATTCACGTCTTAAAGAGTTCCATGTGGAAGCTTTCAGAGGGTGATGACTGCGTCACATGTGGGATGTAAACATGATTTTGTTTTTGTTAAAACATGACTGTGATGTGAAAAATGGGCAGTACTGGGTCGTAAAGATGGCATTCTCTTTAACATGTGAGCTGAAAAGCAATAGAGGCAGAAACACAACACAGCAATGATCTCAGTCCTTTTCTGTGTCACTACTTGTCTTGAGTGACAAGACAGACATGAAATCAGTCTGAGTGTCCTGGAAAAGCAACAACAGTGCGATCATTAGATCATTATTATATTCAGAACTGTTTATTATCAGAATGCACGTGTAAATAGGAGAAAACACTTTGTGTGGTTGTGGGTCACAGACGGCTGGTTGTCTCCAGAGTTCAAGGCCAGGAGCTGAAACAGATGAAACTTGGCCAGAAAGACAATCTGGAAACAATTACCCTCACTCGCTCTCAAAATCAAAACTGTGCATGTTTGCCGGGTTTAAAAATAAAAGCATATGTCGGCCAGACACCAGGGTCCGAGCAACGTGCGTGGCAAAACTTTTACTGCCAAATATACATAAATATATAACTGTAAATACCAGAAAAGAACGAAAAATGAAAAAGGAATGTTGTTTTAAGATCTTGTCAGTCCATTCCATGTTTTTCTTTTTCAGGAATATAAATCGCCCACTTGTGTGCCAGTTTCCACAGCGAGCCACTTACAAATGCAAAAAAAAAAAAAAAAAACTAAACAACATTCAGAGCCATCATCAATTAACAGACCAAAGCAGAACAAAGAGCACGTCTCTGGCTGCAGATAAAACAGTTCAGTCTCTTCTCTACTCAATGGAGCCTTCATGTTCCCCACGCTCAGACCCGAGGATGCCTTCCTCCTCTGTAACATTAGCTTGGTTCAAAGAGGTTTTAGAGGATTCGTCTCTCAAAGTCAGAGCCAAAGACAATAGGATTGTTTTCTTTAAAGGTGAAGAAGCAAAGATTTCAAATAGATTTGAGGAACTGTTTCAAACAAGAGCTAAATAATAGAGAAACTACATATGTCATTGTTTTGAAATATTAGCAGGTGGAGTCTGCAGGGAACTGGACTATTAGGAGGGCAGAAGTAATCAGTAAAAATAATAAATATGAAAACTAGAGTTTTCTGAATTTTTACTCTATTTTCTGAAGCATGAAGTGGATTTAGCACAGACTCATTCTCATCAAAACATTGTAAATAGGTGGCAATGAAAGCAACATTTAAAGGTTGTGTGAGTTCACTTGCAGATTAACTGACTGCTGCCCCCTTGTGGTGAAAGTTGAGCTCTAACAGCTTCATAAAGTCTGGCGCTTTATTTACAGAAGAAGCCATTCAGCGGTTCAGATCATTCCCCATCATGCGTCACACATTTGTCACTGTCATCCGCTCTGCAGCAATAATCTGGTCTGCAGAGCAAAGCCGTCGAGTCTTATTTTACTCCAGATGGATGAAAGCAATATATCAAAACTATATTATGTCATTCATTTAGATTTTCTTGCAAATTTGTAATTTTATTTTCCCTAATGACATTGATGAGGTGAATTATTTGCGTCTGTTTGTTTCTGCTTGCAGGTACAAAACACAAAACTATCCTAGAGGCGCGAAGCGGGCTGGGCCCCATCAAGGCGTACCCTCGTCTGGGCCCGAAGCCCAGCGGAGAGCCGGGAGGGGCGCCGGTGGACCCCAACACTCAGGAACGAACCTTCCACTGTGAGATCTGCAATGTGCGGGTCAACTCAGAACTTCAACTCAAACAGGTAAATGGGAGAATGTACATCAGCTATCACAGATGCTTTTAACTCCATTTGAGAAGATTAGCAAAAATTTCAAACTAAATAATCCAAAGTTGATTCTTCTTATCAACATTGAACTGGACTCAAAAAAGTGGTTGCATTCAGACAACATCCAGAGCAAAAATAACTAATTAACCACATGCTAATTTGTACATAATGTTTTTGAAACATTTTATTGAAATTTAAAACAAAATAATATTGGAAAAATTGAAATCATTTAGTCACTTGTTCATTTATTTATGTTTTTAAAGCACATATCAAGTCGAAGGCACCGGGACGGCATGGCAGGAAAGCCAAACCCACTTCTCAGCCGACACAAGAAGCACAGGGGAGCTGATCTGACGGTAAACTGATTTCTGTCTCCGGTGACAGCGTTAGCAGACCTGAGCTCCTCATCACACACACATTAGATCAGAGGTCTTCAACTACATTTGTTTAAGGGCCAGAGCTTTTTCCAACAGACACTGAGCCAGATGTTCCTCTCAGATATCTCAGTTATTATTGTATCTTAATATATACATTTTTGATATATGAATTTTCCTTCCTAATATTAGTTTTTTTAAGCATTTGTCAGTGTTTAAGTTCATATGTCATTTACTAACCCAAGCCACTAGGGGGCGATCCTACTTGTGAAGCGGTTTGCTCTCCATCACTTAGCGGTCATATTTCAAGCATGCTGTTTGCTTAATCTTTAGTTCTTTTTCTCCAAGGGAGCATTTTATGTAACTTTATTTTACATATTCAGCCTGTTTCCTGCCTTATTTGCACTTCCTTGAGCTGGCTCTGCCTACCAACCTAGTAAATGTTGTTTACTTGTACAAGTTTTGCTTTCTTCCCGCGAGCTTTTTTTTTCTTTTGCCGAGACATCGCAATAAAGCATTATTAAAGTGCAAAAATGAATATCTGAGGAACTTCTGCAGATTAAATTAAAACAAATGTGGAATGAGAGCTGAGTTTGTAATAATTTCTGATTAGTTCAGCTTGTTTAGTTTGACATAGAAAAAGTAGAACATTTGTTTTTCTCTATTCCTGATTCAGTAATATTGGGGGCCAGGTTGAAAGGTCTGGCGAGCTGGGTGTGGCCCGCGGGCCGCCAATTGATGCTCACTGTTTTAGATCATGAGATTTGAAGTATTTTAGGTTGATTTTATCTTCCAAAACATGTCTCTCACTGAACTCAGCCTCTCAATTGGACAAATTCATCATTTATTATTATTATTCTGAGCTACTACAGCAATCAATCTCCCTCTGAGATTAATAAAGTATTTTTCAATTGAATTGAATTTCTGTTTTCCTTTTTCTGCTTTTAGTCTTCTTTAGCCTTCTCCAAGGATCTCACCAAAGCTTTGGGCGCTGGGCTCTTGCCCAACCCGCTGGCTGTTGCTGCAGCGATGGCGGCAGCAGCGACCTCCAACCCGCTGGCCCTACGTGCAGCCGCGCCTGCACCTCACCCGCACCATCATCATCTCTTGCAAGGCCCGCCTCTCAGCCACGCCATCCTGAGACCCGCCCCAGGGCCCATCCGCACCACCCACGGGCCCATCCTCTTCTCTCCTTACTGACACGCAGCCATGGGAGTCCAACCCATCAGGAACATCTACTCCAAAAGCACACTGTGAAGCTACAACCGACGAGAGGGGGGGGGAAATCCAATCATTTAAACATCAGACTGATAGAATAGCAAAAGAAAGGAACGGTGGAAAGGAGTATTATGTCTCTCTTTCTCCCTTTACCTGAGACTCTCCATTCACTCGACTTTCTTATTTTTTTTCTCAAAAGACATTTGATGGATCAGTAGCTGAACTTAGAGGAGAGATTTTCATTATGCATCAAACTCTTGTACATTTCTCATCTGCCCTTATCCCTCCCTTGCACTTTGGCCGCATCACGGCCTTCTCAATATACAGAAAACAAATCTAATCTTTCTAGAGATTACAAACCATGCATAGTGTCACATCATCATTCAGGAGCGGGTTGGTTTTCTCCTGCTATCACGACTCTATGTCTTCTTCTCATCCTATGCACCTCGAAAAAGGATTTAAAAAACAACCGAAAAAACACTAAAAAAACAAGACAATATTGTTATGTCAGTAGGATAGCTGCTTCCATCGGTCTTTGCTGTATGCGCCACACACAGATGCGGCAGCCTCCAAAGTACTGTACGCGTCTCGCTCTGCAGCCAGCAGCTCTTCAATTTGTGACACTAGGCCCTCACTAGATGTAACATGATTCTGAATGACAGGCAGGTGGTGCTCGCTTCTGAACACGTCTGTTTGAGGAGGTTACAAGAGCAGAAAGGAGGCCGTCGGGGGTTTGAGCTCCCTCTGTCATTTTTCTGAGGGAGAGGAGGTGAGAGGAGGGCTGGCGTGGGATGGATTGACCACAGGCAGCATGCAGACACACATAGTCCTGAAGAATTCAGCGTTCTAAAATAGATCCCAACCAAAAAAATAAAAAATGCTACGGGGCACATCTGCCAGCTTCCATGAGAGTCAGGGAGAAAGGCGGATGAGGACGGTGGAGACACCACAAGTCACACATTTAAACTTACTGTTCTGCTGTATTTAGTACGTGATTTAAATGTTCAGCTCAGACTGAATTCAGGGGAAAGCATAATGGTATAGGTGATATTCAGAAGGTTGCTGAAAAGTTTGGCATCTTAACGTTTCAGAATTTCCGTGTAGGTGTGCGGACGTGGACATGACCCTGCGTTCTGATGTGTTTATGCTGTTTCTGCATGCATCCTTACAACGACGCCTCTCAGGCCTATGCATCACTGGGTTTGACCCCTTTTCATTCCTGCACAGTCCTCCTACTCTTCACCTCGCTGATGTCCAAAGGTTTGTTTGACTCAGTTATAGTGTCATGGCAACCGGCAGAGTGGAGCGTAACGCAGAAAGGGAATGAGACGAAAGCAAACACCGTTGGGGAAATGATCGGGAGCTGGAGCGACATCCGAGCCAGAAGCCAAGGGAAGCCACCCAGAGCGGAAGAGCTCCAGGCACCTACTGATACTTCCTGTCTTACAACTGAAAGCCATGAAACACACCATGATTTGATTTATTTTACAAAGACTGGTGAGCACTTTGCTTTTATTTTTTATTTTTTTGGGGGGGAGTTTGAACTGTTGGTTTGCGTTTATAGCGCAAATAAAGAAAAAAATAAATAAAAACAAGCAAGCAAAATAAAACATACACATCAAAACTATTTTTGTAGGTAGGAAATGTCGATAACCTCATCCATGAAGGGAACCCGAGTAGAGGGTGCAGCTATTACTGTGGATTTTCTATGTAAGCTACAGTCAGTGGAGCCACAAAAGCTAGGAGTAACATGCTTGACAGCTTGAAACTAACACCCTTCTAAGATCAAACTGTACATTGTGCCCTTCCATTGAGAAGCAATGAGCTCTAATGTCTTACATTTGTCTGAATATTGCAATGCAATGAGCAATTTTTATCAGCGTGACTTGTTATCATTGTGACATTGTTGTCTGGAGTCGTGTGTAACCTGGGAGCAGGTCAGCTGACAGACCCTTTGTTTCTTCCATGATGAGTTCAGGTCCTCGAGTGTATTGGTGGATGGTTGGGGGGTTGGGGGGTTGGGGGGGGGGGTGATCTAGAGCTGGCACAGAGACCGACCCTTCATATTAAAGGGCCTTTAACTACGGGAACCTCTGCTTGGAGAACAGGGTACAACACCAAGCATCGAGAAGTTCTAACCAGTTCAGTCTTTCCCCATTTTCTTTGTACTTTTTGAGGGAGGATGGGTTTCTTAGTTGCTTTATTTGATCTGTCTGTAAGCGATGTATCTAGGACCCCAGAGAAACTTTATCAACGCCATTGCTTAAAGGCAAAGCTGGCTCCCTGTCAGTTTCCACCGTTGTGCTTTCGTTTTTCTTTTTTTGTGGAAAGTGGTCTCTAAGTTAATTTTGGGAGTGAGGTAACGTTCCACGGTTTGTGCTTGCCTTCCTGTTGGTGTGTGTACCATATGTATTCAAGTGTGTGCTCAGATCTGCTCTCTCTTCCTTCCAGAAGCAACCTGGATCTAGAAGAGGTGACCTAACGATGGATGTGTTGGGTTTTTAGAGAGAACGATCAATAATCAAAGATTCTGTCTGAGTTGTTAGTAACCCAGCCTTATCAGAGCATCAGCTAGGTCAGTCAGTCAAGTAGCACCACTTACAAGCTCATATTGTCCTCAGTATGTTCATAAAGTGGTTCATCTCCATTATTCACATTTTAGGAAAGGAATATTTTCAGGACTTCGTGTTAGCTGTGTTTAGGCTCCCAGCCTTAGCCTTATTCTGCCCTCAGTCTCTCTCCGAGCCGAGAGAGAGAGATGAAGAGGCTATGGTGTAATTATTTCTTGCCAATAAAGTTATTTTTGAACTTCACTGTCAGAGGGATAAAGAGTTTGTATGGCAACTTGTAGCAATACCTGACTCATTCTGGCTGTTTATTGCAATAAGAAAATGAACTAATAAATGTGTATGTGAGTGAAACATAAATGTAATTTAAATAAAAAAGAAATGATACTTTATGGTGAATACTAGTGGTATCAAGCAAAACCATGGTGGAAAAAAGTAAATGTCAATAAATCATGAACTGATCTTGTCTGCAGAGTTTTTTGTTTATGAATATAAATCTGTTAGTATCATCTTCTGCGTGGTCATTTATACAAAGATAAATAAATAGTTAAATAAAAACATTTAAAATTATTTAATTACACAATATTTCAATATTTATTCTAGCTTCAAAAGATTGTCCTAATTAGTTCTTTACAGTAGCATTGTATGGTTTCCTGGCGCTAGATGGCAGTACAACCATTCAACAGTTTTACACAACGTCACTGTACGGTGTCGCCTGTGGAGCAAAAAGCTGCAACCTCGGCGTGACTCCTCAGACTTTGATGGTCCTTCAGTTATTTCCATCTGCTGATTGTAGATTTCTGGTTCTGTACTTTTCCTTTACTTTTTCTGGTCCTGCGCCTGCTGATGACATCACCATACTACGGCAATATGACTCGACCAAAATATCTTGCATTTCTTTTTCGATTCTCTTCTTTCACAAAGGCTTTGGAAAAAGTTTAGCAGTTACTTAAATGTTTTGGAACATGGTGACGTAACTTCTGTAAGTCGTACATCCAGCCAATCACCTAGTGTGATGCCATCAACCAACCTGGCCTGCCAAATGACCAATCAGAAAAAAGGTGGAAACGACGACTGTATCGCTGTAGTTTTTTTGGTTGTAACTGAAGATGGCATCTTTTTATTTAGAAGAAATGCTTTTAGCGCTTTTTCTTGCTGAGGTTTGAAGGACATGTCCAAGTCATTTAGAACAGAGAAAAGAGCCACAGTGAACTCAGTTTCAGACACCATCTTTGTTGGTTATGAGAAACTGAGCGTTGCGGTGTGTGACATGCGCTGCTCAGCGCTGTTTGGCTCAGTTAGAATTCTCAGGGGGTGGGGTAATTTGACTGGGAACGGTACTAAGTCCTTTGCTTCCTATAAGGAAGCATTGGCATGGCTAGCCTGGCTAGTCGTTGACAGGCGCTAGATACCGAGCTGACCAGAAAGAAACGTGATGTCTAATATGGCGTCCCCCCCAAAGACGCTAGACCCACGCCCTATGTCCTTTATGGTTATATGTTAGAGTTAGAGTTAACGACTGGACGCCGTTTTATTAATTTTCAACAACATTTTAATGGATATTTCCAGGGATTAAAGGTAAAATTACACATTGTCACTTAAATTATTTTTCCAATTGTTTCTATTTCTTGTTGTAATCACATTAAATGACCGCAAAATAATTAAAATAAATGTTGAATAATAATAATAATAATAATAATAATAATAATAATAATAATAATAATAAAGTTCCTAGGTGAGATGAGTAAAACACATTTATGACATAACAATATACACATCAGAATATTTTGAATGATTATCATAGTTAAATCTTTGGGAGAAAACATTTATGCAAGAACAAAACACTGTCAAACTGATCAGTAAGAAGAGCTTTAAGGAGCTAAATGGTGCTCCTTTGTTCTCTCTGATGAAGAGCTGCATTGTATTCTCTCCGCAACATTTCTGATTTCCTTGGTGACAGACACAAACAGATCCCCACCAGTCATGTTTTAACAGCTTTCTGCAGCAATGTACAACTCAGCCACTAGATGGCCACACTGTGATAACTGGGAAACAGGTGGACTCAAATAAAGCAGCAATGCAGAAAAAATCTTTGCATCAAAGCTTAAATTCAATATGATAATGAAAACTGATGATGAGAATGAGTGGTTATGCCCATCAGGTGCAGCAGCACTTTCACATCTGTAAACTGGTAAAGAAGGCTCAGCCAAACAGATGGTTGCTACGTTATTAAAGATGTTGTAAAACTAAATGATCTGTATAATCCACGGCCATTAAAGATGGAAAAAATGGATGTCACCATGCAAATACGACAGGCATGCTTTTATATCCTGACTGTATATTTTTCTGAAATGTGTCACGCTAAACAAATGATATGAATGATGATGTCAACTTTTAATTATAACCAGTAATGAAATTATTTGAATACCAAAGAATACCAAAGATGTTTCAGTGTGAAGACAGCGTCCTCACACGTTCTATCTGTTCTCTGTTCTACAGTTTCTTTAAAAGCCAAAGCTGTAAGTTGGGGCTTGTTTTGAACTTAAGAGACTCATCTGGCTGCTTTTAAGAGCTCCATACATCTACAGGTGGCACTAGCACGGTGACTTCAGACAGAAGTGGTCGAATGGAAACTGAAGAGGCAGCTGAACTCCTCTCCGAGAGAGCACCTGCACCTGAAAGGAGTAGGCATGTTGTCTGGCCTTTCTTTTATTTTCTATCAACGTCGTTATTTCGATAACACACCTCACTGTGCAAGTATGAGATTGATCTGGTGAAAAACAGAATGGGTTTGTTTTGAATTATTTAAAGAGTATTTGCTTATTTATGTTTGCTAACAAAATTGTGATGGGCAAATAAAAAAATAAAAAAGAAAGACAATATGTTAAAATACTGAAGATCAAGTAATGAAATTGATTTCATGTCCTCAGGTCAAAATTAGCTCTTATGTAATTTTGATGATCGTGGATTTTTAGGTTGGAACAGAAAACAAAGCAATACGCAAATAAAACACCATGTTGAAATCCTGATAATCTCGTTATTCCAGCTTTTATTTTGAAAGCAGCAACACTGACAACAAAATGGAATGATGTTTCAAATAGATATAATATTCATCTTAAATTATTATTAGTTATTTTATGAGTTTATAAATGATCCTACTGGGAATAATTCCATCTTTTATAAAGTGTTCTTGCTGCAGATCAGATAAATCTAAATGTTGAGCCTTTTCCTATAATAATTCAGAGAAGTAATATTTCACTCTACGTTTTTGTGCTTGGTATGCTAATTTTATTTTTCTTTGTTGACATACCTTTTTAATTTGTTGTGTTGTTGCCTATTTTGACATTTACTTTGTTGGTGATGCTTCTAAGTAGCTTTCTCATGTCCGTCCTCCTGCTTTCTGATATCTTATGCACTTGAATCATTTCTTACCTGGCACGTGACTGTATTTTGCACAGTTTCTGTCTTTCGGTGCACTAATGGACCCCTATACAACCACTGATGCTAGCTTTTGGACTGTTCACCTCTTTCAAGCCAGATGATGCCTTACTACTTCTGCCTGAAGGACCCGCTGGGCCTGATTTCCAAACAGTCTGATGAATCAGATTGCTGGACCATTTTCCACTCCATTGTGGCAAATTTTAAAATCAGTTTGAGCTCCCAAAAGGCTTTCTCTGTTTCTGTGTCTTGGTTATAAATATGATTTCATTCGCATGCCTTGTAATTTGCATTTCATTTTTATAGTTTGCACGGTGATGACCCTGTGGCCAAGGCAAGAACTTCTGCAACAGAATAATTCTTGTTTTCAATTAAATGTAGTCCAAGGACCCACAGATACACTGTATTGGTTTTCAACCTTGTCTTTTGGGTACAAAGATTTCTCATATGGGATGACACCAACGATGACCCAGTGGGTAGTTTTGGGTCACATGCCACTGGAGTGCCCACAGAAATCTCCCTGAGGGATTAAACTTGGCAGAATTACTGCATTCCCCTTATTGGCCCACATCCATGGGGCCACTCTGGGTAGTTTTTGGGCAGATACTACTTTGCCCACATAATTAAATGCAGTTAGGAATGATGATAGCAAACCTCTCCACTCCAGTATTTATCACCTGTTTCTTAAGCAAAGGCAGCTGAGATGCTACAGATGCTGCTTCTTCTGTGTTTCAAACAGAAAGCGAGCAAGTCTAATCATGTGATCCGAGTGCAAATGGTCAGAACCTCCAGCTGATTACACATTAGACACGGAGTGAGGGCAACAGGACACCATCAGTTAGTGGCTAAGATTAATTTAACCATGTGCTGTCCTGTCTGCCTCCATAAGCATGAGACGGCAGGTTCAGGTGCAGCGCTGAGCAGATAATTAGTCCAGAGAAGAGAAAAAAACACAGTAGAGCAAATGAGCCAAGGGTCTCATTTCCTTAAGTAAGTAAACTTGTGCAGAGACCAAAATGCACAAGAGTTTGTATTTTTCAGATGTTGGATGTGTTTGCGGCACTGCCCTGTTTGTTACACCTGAGTAAAATCTCTGAAGCACCAGAGTTGGCCCGTGAGCTCAGAGGAAAACAGCTTCAGTGTTAAAAGCTGCTCTTTTCTGTTTCAGACCTGCTTCCGTTTCATTCATGCTCTCTGCGATCGTCGTTCGTTCCACCTCAGTTAGCATCCTGTCACATTAATCAGGGCGGAAACCTCCAGACACAACACAGGCATAAAGATAGTAGGGATTATTCCTCCGGCTAATAAATCAGTTTCCTCTGGGAAATTAACTAAATTCTGATCAATTCATGAAATATTCAAGCAGTTGTTCAGGGTCATAAAAAACGTTAACCCAAATAACCATTATCTCTTGACAATGTTATACGTGAGCTGCAACAATTAAAACAAGTCAGGAAATTGTCAGATTTAGCTTTATTTAAAAATATATCATTTTTATTATCAGTGTGTTTGAAGAAAAGTAAAAAGTTGAGTAGCTCAATCTGCCAGTGTGAAAACTGACAGCCGAGTTGTCCTAGATTATTAAGGGACAGCAGTGGCTCAGGAGGTAGAGCGGGTTGTCCAGTAATAGGAAGGCTGCAGGTCTGATCCCAGCTCCCACCAGGGAATACTGCTGTCGAGTCCTTGGGCAAGACACTCAACCCGCCAGTGGCTCCTGTGTTCAGCCAACACATGCAGGCCTCGCCTCTGTCCGTTCTTGACAATCTTCTAGCCTAGTGAACTAGACCAAATTCTTGCTTTACAAAGAATGGTCTAGGCATGCTCCATTGGAACCTCAGCAGGTCCTACCAGGACTCTGGCTGGCCAATCACAGCTCTCTAGAGGGGTTTCAAACACATAAAGAGCTGTGATTGGTCCATAACGGTGGGCCAATCATAGTGCTCTATCTGCTTAGTGAACAAATCACAGAGCTTTATCCGCTTTGTGGGCCAATCAGGGCACTCTATATGCCTGGTGGGTGGGA